GCGTAGAACCGCGAATAGCCAGGATGGTCGGTCGTAAAGTTGTTTCGGTTGAACACCGTGGAAGTGGGTTTTACAAGGTCATTTTTGAAGGTGATGAAGCTTTCATAATATCCGAATCAATGGCTTTCCCACCGGAGGTTCCATGGACGACTTCTACAACCACCTGACACCAGCCCAATGGTTCATAGTCTGGCTGTTTGCCGTTCCCTTAATATTTCTATGTTCATGTGTGGCGCTGGCCTGGAGGGTTCGGTATTTGTTTTGGAACGATTATTTAAGGAGGAAGGACAAATTTTGAATTGTAATTTTTGTGGGAGATCCCTAAGCAATGAAAAATTGTAAGGATTGTCAGTATAGTTACTATTATGATGCTTGTCAGACCTTGGAGTGCTGGCGTTACCCTCCTAAAGAACATCAGATAGATGATCATAATGGTGAACGTATTTCGGTGTTTCTTAACCCGGAAGTAAAAGGAATTCAATGGTGTGGCGAATTCAGGCTTAAGGACGAACTATTGGAGCAACGAATGAAAGAAATGGGGGAGATACCGATACATGAATCATAAGAGTGAAAATTTCGACCAGGATGTGCGTAAATGCTACGATCAACAATACAGAGCCCTCCTTCATGAATTCATGGAATACAAGGCGAAGAACAATAAAGATCGACAAGGAACCCTCGACGCAAACAGAAATTTGGCGATCGCTTTCAGGAATCATGAAGAAAAAATTGAACAATTAGAAAACGAGATTAAGGATCTTAAGGGTAAAGAAGAAATAGACAGAGACGAAGAATTAACAAAGCTAAGAAATCTTGTTGCTGTTCATCAATCTGATGCGGAATATCTTAGAAATGAACGAAAAGTTTTAATAACCGAATTTAGAGAATCAAGAGATATTTTTAAGATTGAACATTTATTTAGGCGTGCCAGAAGTGATATGGCGCATCTGATTGATGCTTTGGCTGATGATTATTATGTATTTAATAAAACCAAAAAAATCAAAAAATCAGTCCTCATGGATTCCTTGAAGAGGATTAACCTTAGAATTCCTGGTAAAGGGGATGGGCTCATACATGGATGACTGGAGCAGAGACGAAAAGCATATCGAAAGGCTGGAATACGCGAACATGAATCTGAGGGAAGAAATAGAAAATCTTAAGGATGAAATAAAATCGGATACATCGAAAATCCTGGCGCGTCTTCACACCCTTCAGATCATGACTGAAAAGATGGTTGAAGTTTCAAATATTCATATGAATCTGACTATTAAGCATATGGCTGAACAGCTTAACAAAGAATTGATTGGGATTATAGATACGTTGTCGGAGGAAGGGCGGTGACCAACACAATATATTTCAGAGGCAACGAACATGCTGCCGGGACATTAAAGAAGTTTCAGGAGCTGGTTTCTATGCGCAACAAAGAAATTGGTGCCTTCATCGACAAGTATAAAGCTGGTGACGAATATCAGCATAGGGATGGTGCTCTTAGGGCTGTGACATTCCCGAAAGCAGTCGATCGGAATCTATGGAAAAAATACTCACCAAGAAGCAGGGGTTGGATACCAAAAAAGAATACCAAAGAAGCCAGGGCAGTATGGGAAGAATTCGAACTACTATCCGAAACAATCATGCCTGATATGGCCCAGGAATATGGTTACAAAACTGTTTATATCGGTGGTGAACATGATTCCGGTCGGGGTTGTTATATATCAAAGTGCCCTTCCATTGAGACCCTGGATGGTGTTTGTGTGGTGGGTTACCCTGACTATGTCCTGGCTGACAAAGACTTCGAATTACCTGATGGATATGTCGAACTAAAGTATTCAGAATATCTGACCCTGAAAGCAAAATCAGAGGAGAAAAAAGGAAATTGAGATATTACATTCATCAATTCAGAATCATCAAGGAAGGTCATGAGGATCTTGACCCATATTATAAAGTCGTAAAATACAGCAATCAAAAGCTGATCGACTGGGTCGATGGCACCAGCGAAGCATTTTTTACAAAAATGGTCATCATGGCAAAGAAGGAATTTGCTACCGGTCCATTGAAATATGAAGTTGCTCATGGGGATATCATCCAGATTAAGTTTACACGCAAAACAAAATCCAACAGAAGGCAATGGTTCACCCACAGAGTCGTCAAGCAGTGAAGCGGCTCAGGGTAGCATTTGACGTTGACGGTACCTTGATCCACACGGGTGGTGATCTGGACGATTCCCCAAGACACGATGTCATTCATCTGTATTTTCTTCTTGAGATGCTTGGTTGTGAATTGTTTGTCTGGTCCGGTGGTGGTAAACAATATGCAAACGAATGGAAAAGAAAGCTGGGACTTGCTTCGGCTAAGGTTGTAGAAAAAGCTTCTTTCAGGCCCGACATAGCGGTTGATGATGATGAACCGGGACTTGGGTTTGTTAATCTGATGGTTTGAGGGATACAAATGGGCAGAGTAACCATAATATCGGCATGGCTCGGGTTTGTTTGTATTACCGGATTCGCCCTTGGGCTTGTAGGCGGATTAGTCTCCCACGCTGTGCAGGATGTTATGGATACCAAACCGCCCGATGTGGTGGTGAATTTCAATTACGATGTCGATGATGTTAATGGGGAAAAGGGGAAGGATGATTAGCCTTGAAGAAAAATACAAAATAGCCGTAAAGGCTTTGAAGGTTATGGCCGTGCCTGGCGCATGGGTTGGTGATCCGGCCTGGGAACTTTATAAGATTAAATCCGTTGGAACCCTAAAGGAATTGGGTGAAACCCCACCGGAAACGTGGGACGATGCTTTGCCGGGGCTGGATAAGGCAGTTGTCACAAACGAAGATATCGACAGAGCGTTGAAGGAGATAAACGATGATCAACCAGGAAAATAATTTAATACATGCCAGAGCACTGATGACCTTTGGCAGATCATCACAGGTCATGCAGGCCATGGAAGAATTATCTGAACTATCTGTGGCTCTGTCCCATATGCATCGCGATCCAAAAAATCAGGCATACAACGAAAATCTGGTTGAAGAACTGGCCGATATGGCTGTTGTTATCGAACAAATGCTGGTGCTTTTTGGCGTAAGTAATGCTAGGATTAATGAATACAAACGTAGAAAACTCGAAAGGCTTGAACGCAGGATTGTTGCACATGAAGCACGAACTAAGCCAGACTGATATTTCTCTGAACTTCAAGTGCCCTTATTGCAAGGGCGATAATTCAAGGCGTCCCCCTCTTTCATCCCACAGCAAATTTATTGACCATGATTGTGTTGCCTGCAGTAAGATATTTTTCGTCCGGTTCGAATTCACTGCCACAGTCGATACCTATAAACCCCAGAAAGTGCGTTAAATGATTCCCTTCGGTCAGAGTGAGTTCGGTGCCGGTCAGTCAAATGATGATGTCATGCAGCTATTCAGGTGGGAGCACTTGGGTGGTAAGCCCGCAATGGTGGCTCTAAAATATTATATGTTCGCAGAATATATTATCGAACTTTTTCCCCGACACAGCGAAAGCCGCGAACAGGCTCTGGCCGGGTTGAAACTTTCCCGTGATGCAGCTATAAGGGCAACATACAAACCTTAGAAACTACATTTTTGGGGAAGATATACTTTTTGGAAAATTATAAGACTTTCCGGCGCACCGATAGAAGCTTTAATTCAAACGTGGCCGCCATAAAATATACTGGCGAGAACGTAGCAGCTGTCAAAGAATTCTGTCCTTATGCTGATCACAGCAACGACCCTGTTTTTCTGGTCGATGGTCCCATGAAATTCACCAACAAGGAATATGAAGAAGGCTTTTTTAAGTTCAGGGTTAAGACCTTCGGTAAAAGGTTTCTGACCATTGGGCATTACCTTATGCGATATGAAAAAGAATATTTTATTATGCCAGCTAACAGGTTTGAAAAAATGTTTGAGGAGGTTACATGACATCAGTCAGAGAATCCCTGGAACCACTTCTTCAGGAAGCTATTGCAAAAGGCCTTTGGTTTCATTGTACGTACCAGGATTTATGGTTCAGCCCAACCGAAATGAAGCACCATTGGGATGTCGAAGAAAGATTCCTTTGGGGTCCAGTTAACTGGACCCTTCAGGACCCGATGAAATTGGTTGAAATCAAAAAGAAACAACGGGCTGATGCCTTAACATCCCAAACCAACATATTCAAAAGGATAGCTGAAAACACAAAAGCATTATCCTGACTAGTTAATCCAGTCCCCATTCCACTCCAACGCCCTAAAGGCCACGTCACTTTCCCCCTTAAGTTTCCAGTCGAAGAAAGTCAACGATTGGGAAATCCAGTACGCTGGGATCGGAATATGCTTCGCTCCCAGTGCCCCCATCACATATTTTTCTTCTGACGTCAGAGCATAGAACCCGCTTTCCACCCATCCCCTCGAGACAACCCTGTCCTGTGATCCCCAGAATTGAAATGTGGGCCCAAATATCGTTGGGTAATACGAATAGCCAGCCTTGAATTTAAACCCATGGGCCGGCTGTACTGCGATGACAGCAAACCTGTTATAGGGCCATACCTTTTCGACCTTGCTTAAACAAACCAATGCACCAGCGCCGCCCTGACTATGCCCTGCTATGCCAATCGGTGTTGGACCTCTTTCCATCAGAGTTTCCACAAAGTTGAAACAATCTTCCCCGTTGCCCGTGTTGATTTGCACAGGACACATTGGCTGATAGCCCCTTGACTCCATTTCCTTGAAAACCTGGGAATACATCGAACAGGTGGCTCCGGTTCCGTTTAACCAAATGATCGGAATCATATCCTTTTCAAGTTGAGGTACAGGATTTTGAGCTGGCTTGTGGGAGATACATCCGGATAATACAGATAAAACAACAACGGCAAATAACAATTTAAGCATGAAAGGAGCCCCTTTTTTAATATATTGCGTTATGTATTTTTGTGGTCTAAATCGTATCCTAATAACGGGAATTTTTAAACAGCGAGGTGAAATGGTGAAATTATTATTTTGTATATTACCGCTCCTAATGTTCGGTTGTGGGGATGGTCCATTGGGTGGCCCCGATAAAGTAAAAATTCAACAGATCAAGGGCGACGATGGTGATGACGGTTCGCCAGGGATGAACGGTGCTGATGGTACCGATGGTACTCCTGGGGAAGCCGGTGGTAAAGGACCAGCAGGACCAACAGGGCCACAAGGGCCGGCAGGTGAAGGCGTACCAGGTGACCGTGGCCCACAGGGACCACAGGGATTAGTCGGACCAATAGGACCACAAGGACCAGGGGGGCCATCAGGACCAGGCGGTGCCCAGGGCCCTCAGGGTGATAAGGGAGCCAGAGGTGAAGCCGGTACACGGGGTGAACGGGGATTCACAGGGCCATCAGGTGAGAATGGTCGTAATGGTTCTTCTGGTTTTATCAAGGAAACTAATACCCAGCTTATATTCAGAAAAGAATCAGGCGGCGAACATCCATGGGACAAACCGCCCAACCCAACAATAACGATGTGCCTTTGTAAGCATGGCAAGATGCATCAGGAATCCGGAAAAGCCGTGACTCTTATGATTAAGTATTGGGGAAAACGCGGCTGGTTTATTGCCCGTGATAACAACTGCTGGAACACGTGGAACAAGTTTGATGATGACCAGCGGTATTTTCTGGAAGGCGAATAATGAGAGAACTAAAACATGAATTTTGTAAAAACAGAAAGGGATAAATCAGAATGAGACATATTTTTTTAATAATGGCATTCATAGCCGGTGCGGTCTTTTTAGGACTGTTCGCCTGTGGCTATGCAAATGCTAAAACAAAAGCAGTGACCCTGCATTCAGAGGATGGGACAAGCGCAACATTCCCATCCAAAGAAATGGCTGGCGTCTACAGAAAGAACCTGGGCAAGTACAAGAAGCTTTATTTCGATCTTTTGAGAAAGCAAAGGAAGTGTCCGGTGTGTACGCCCAAGACTGTGACCAAAACAAAGGTGCAGAAGGTCTTTGTGACAAGGCGTAATAACATCACACTTCATCTGGGTGTTGGTAATAACGGGGTTGATGTGACACGGGGCGGGGATGGGTTTACCATCGTTGAGCAAAAACAGGTTCCTGTGCTAGGATTGTCTTATGCAAGATACATCGCCAACGGGTGGTATGCTGGTGCATCAGGATTTTCAAATCAGACTTTCAGTGGAAACGTTGGATGGAGTTGGTAAAGGTCAAAAAAAACCGGGATCATCCTTAGGGACCCCGGTTTGACAGAACCACTCTCTCAAATGGTTTGACTGGAAAAAGAAAGCTAACATGGGGGTAGTGTTATGCCAAGAACAAAAAAACCCAAGCGGCTTGTTTGCACTGGTACCATCCGGGGTATGAACTGTGAAATGGGAATCTGGAAAGCATATCACTTCGGAACCCATGTTACTATGGTTTGTGTTATGTGTGAACACAGGGGCACGTTTAAGCTGGATGAAGATGAAGATCAGGAAGAAGGCCTTCCCTGGCCGTTTAGTATAAGGGAGAATTGAAAGATTTGTTTCATAAATAACCAAGGTCAGGGGGGCCGTCCGTGGTCCCTACTTTTAACCGCGCCAGTCACCAATACCAGACCAATTAATTTCAACCGCACGTCTCATGCTTTTCGGAATTATTAAATGTGCAGAGAGCATTAGGTCAAAACCCCCCTGTTTATTAAGAGTCGAACCTAACTTTCTAGAGTCCGATCTGAATGATTCAAAGTCGAACCCCACTTTTCCGCTATCATAATCTTCAAGTAATTTTTCCCATTTTTTTATGAAATCAAATAACATAGTTTCAATTGTCATTTTTTAACCCTTTCCATTTTTAAAAAATTAAATTCACACAACGTTCTCTTTCTTCCAGACAATCATTACAGACTGAAATGAATCCATCTTCATGGTTAATTTCATCAACATCTTTCCCGCATTCTTCACATTATCGAAAAATTTTACTTTCTGTTCAGTCGGATTTTGCATATGCTTTACCTTCCTTTTCAGGGAATTTGAACGGAAAAGAGGATCTTCGATTTTTAAACGAGGGATCGAAGACCCCTTTTTTTATTCCTCTGTCAGATCGCTTGTAACACAGCTGCCTTCAGGAAAGTCCCATGTATACTCACCATCCTGATCAAGGTCAGAAAACTTAATCTTGTATTTATCAGTCGCAACATCGTACCAGACTTCCCAGAATCCAAATGTATAGTCGGTGGCTGAATTGTCGGTGTTGCCGTCATATCGCAACGTAGCAGCCCGCTTTTCATCAAAGCCATCCTGATTGATGAACCATTTTTGTGACGTGGTGTAATTGTCGTTGTAATTCGCAAATTGCAGGTCAACAAACATCAGATCATTATGGCGCGTGATAATGTATTCAACCTTGATTTCTGACGGTGTCACACCATTGGTCATTTCATTCAGGGTCGGGGTAAACATGTGCCAGTAACAAACCGTTTGGGTTCTGATTTCTAACAGGGCTTCGGGCTCAGGTGCGTCCTGACCATCTTCACCCTTCAGATCAATCGCAATCCATTCAGCCGTGGCAGAATCGCAATACCTGAATGTTTGTTCGGGGACAACATAAACGAGGTTACCGTCCAGTGATGATTCGCAAATAATGTCGTCAGTCGATTGAACCAGCCGGGCTGTATCAGGTGAATGTTCAATGCCCGGGGTTTCTGCTATTAATTTCTCCTCCTTTGGTTGATCCTCAGAGCCACATGCCATGGCTAATATTGATAGTGCGATTAGTAAGTTTTTCATGATTCCTCCTCAGGGTCGATAAATTCATTTATTATTGCCATATCCTTTACTTCATCTTCGGACATGTATTTAAAAGCTGCCGTCAAAACTTCGTCCTTGTTTAAAATTCCTTCTTCAATCGCTGTTAATAAAAGGTTCGTGTAATGTCGTGGTGATGTCATTTATTCCTCCTCAGATTCTGGTGTAATTATGTTCGCAATTTCTGCCATTATTCTTGTGTGTAAGTTATGTTGTCTTTCCAATTCCTGAATTATAATGTCATCCCATGATTCAGGGTTAATGTCGTTATTGTTCCGAATCAATGCCCCCTGTGCTATTTTTTTTAGGTCGATTATTATTTCTGTCTTATTGAGTGTGACTAGTAATTTTTTCATGATGCTTCCCCAGTGCTATTTTTTTTACGTCTATTTCTGTCATGTTGATTTTCCCTTTCCTTTTTACGTTTTTGCATTTCAAGCAATCGGTCATGTGCTCTTGTTTTCATATAAAGCTGATCCAGGGCCATGACGGTTACTTCGGTTATGCTGTCATATTCCTTCACAAAGTCATGGAGGTATTCGGGTAACCTGACGTTGATGGTTTTCTTTTTGGCCATTTTAACCCTCCCAGTAATCGGTAAAAGCTTTTTCACTTTCCTGTTCGCACAAACTATCAAGGCATTCCTGACAAATATTAGCTGACTCAGGCAACCATTTAGGGTCATGGCGGGGGACCAATTCCAGGTTGTCACTTTCGCATTCTTCGCAAAAACCTTTCATTTTGTTACCCAACCGATCCAGCCGTTACAGTTAAAGTTGATCACGATCTTACCTTCATTTTGTAATTCTAAAAGAGCATCTACGACTCTCGATTTTTTCTCTGTCATGCCTTGGTCGTTTTTGCCCATTTCAATTAGAATTTCTTTATTCATTTGTTTACCCCTTCCATTTCGTTCAACATGATTAAATATTCTTCAAAATAGATTTCGTAACATTCATCAGGGCAGTCATGGCCGTGGGCATCTTTGTAATCCTGTTCAAATTTTTCCATCAATTCATACCTTGGTGCTGACATAATCTTTCCCCTTAAATAAAAGCCCCCGAAGGGGCGGTTGGTTTTTAGTTGTTGCCTGTTGCCTGGTCGTAGAAATTTTCTAAGTCATTGCTGTTCCAGTGCATCGCTTGAATCCGGTCATAATCCCTGTCTGTACCGGTAATTGCGTCGAGCCTTTTCCATTCTGTGAAGTACGCTTCTGCTAGGGCTGGGATTGTTTCAAGATCCATGGCCATCATTTCTTTTTTTGTGATTCTTTTGGTTTCTAATTTAGCCATGATTTCCCCTCTTTGTTTTTTCTTAGGTGCCCCGTGCCCCCTATAATATACTTATCGGTCGTTTTACCGATTTCTTTAGTAAAATCGTATATCCCACCGTTATGATTAGTGAAATATCACCCCTTTTAATTTACAGCTAATAGGGTGTATAACTACCTGATAATACCAGCAATTGCCATTCATAAACGTAATACGTATTTAAGGGGGTTTCCGACGGTGGAAAAATCAATAAAAATGCGGGTCCTGCGCCACGAAACCGTTGATATAAGCGAATTACAGCCATTTTGGGGTAATGACAAGGCCATTATTTTGGATTCATACAACGTGAGGGGAGGGAGCTCAAAATGAAGATCGAAGAACTGGACATTAACAAGACCTTTACGGATCCAAATAACGCCCGGTTGCACAACCGTAAAAACCTCGATTCTATCAAAGGATCGCTGACAAAGTTTGGCCAACAAAAACCAATAGTGATTGATGAAGATGGGGTTGTGCTGGCCGGTAATGGCACCAGAGAGGCTGCTATAGAGCTGGGGTGGGAAAAGATATTTGTTGTAAGGTCAACCCTTAACGACTGGAGGGCGACCGCCTATGCCCTTGCCGATAACCGAACCGCTGAACTGGCTGAATGGGATCAACAGCAATTAGATGCTCAATTACAGTCTCTGGATGATATAGATGATTTTGAAATTGAAGACATCGGTTTTGATGACATTGGAGCTTGGGACGACGATTCAGATGTTGTTGATAAAGTCGAGGAAAATACCGATGGGATAACGTCGACAATTAAATGTGAAGTCAACCAGGAATCAAAAGAGTCCTTTAAAGAGTGGTTAAAATCAATGGTCAAGGATTCAGGTTATGACGTCAAAATCACCTAGGTTAAATATTCTTGTCGCATGGCCATACTTAAAACCTGATCTGATAAAACTGATAAGGAAAAACAAACATAAGGTCCGTCTGTTTGTTGATAGCGGGGCGTTTACAGCATGGAAAAAAGGCGAGGTTTTTTCAGTCTATGACTATATGACATTTATGAAATCTATCGATGATATTGCTTGGCGGTATTTTGCACTCGATGTAATAGGTGATCCCAAGGGAACAAAAAATAATTTGGATATCATGGTAAAAAATGGATTTAAACCTGTTCCTGTTTTTACCAGGGGTGAGAACATAAAAGAACTGAAAGAACTTCAGAAAATATCTGATGTCATAGCTATTGGTGGGCTTGTTGGTACCAAGGGTAATACTGGGTTTGTTAAGGGTATTATGAAGCATATAGACCCTAAAAAAACCCACTGGCTCGGTTTTACAAGGGTTCCATTTGTCAAACGTTACAAACCATATTCCTGTGATTCTTCGTCCTGGGAATCCGGGGGGCGATACGGGCAATTTCAACTCTACATTGGTAGAGGTAAGTTCGTTAGAATAAATAGAGCTTATTTTAAAAAAGGCGTAACCGTGAGCGTTGGGGATGTTATTAACTCATATGGATTTTCAGTAAAAGAATTTACTAATCCTGATAACTGGGCTGGTGGTTTATCATCAAGCAGGACGCTTAGCGGTCATAGTATAGTAAGGTACTCACTTGAGGTTGAAAAAAAGTTTGGTGTTAAACATTTTATCGCGCTAGCAGGCGTTCAGGCGTTTGAAATTTTAATTAAGGCGTATGATATGGAGGTTTCTAAATGAAGAAAATTATATTGGTTTCCGGAGGGATGGATTCAGCCACCGGGTTGGCCATGGCTTTATCCGAAGGGTATGAAGTCGAAACACTATCGTTTAATTATGGGTCTAAACATAATGATAGGGAATACCATCATGCCATGATGTTATGTGAATACTATAAAGTAAAGAACACCAGGATAGACTTGCCTTTTATTAACCAGCTGTTTGAATCAAACCTTCTGAAAGGTCATGGTGAAATACCAGAAGGTCACTACGCTGATGAATCTATGAAAAAAACAGTGGTCCCATTCCGGAACGGTATAATGTTATCAATTGCTGTTGGTTATGCTGCGTCAGTTGGCGCCAAATCAATTATGCTTTCTAACCATGCTGGTGACCACACAATTTATCCGGATTGCCGAAAAGAGTTTTCTGAGGCGTTTGGCGAGGCCGTCTCAACCGGAACGGATGGAATGGTTGAGTTGGAATACCCATTTTGTAACATTAGTAAGACAAGGATAGCGATCATTGGGACGGAGCTGAATGTTCCTTATGAGCTTACGTGGTCCTGTTACAAGGGCGGTGAAAAACATTGTGGCGTTTGTGGAACTTGTTACGAACGCAAGGAGGCTTTTGCAGATTCCGGTATTAAGGATCCAACGGAGTATTTAAAATGATAACTTGTTCAAGATCAGTCGAGTTTGATGCAGGTCACAGGGTTTTAAACCACGAATCGAAATGCCGAACGGTTCATGGTCACCGATACAAGGTAGATATAACGGCACAGATAGATGAGCTGGACGACATTGGTCGGGTGGTTGACTTTTCCGTTTTAAAACAGGTCATCGGTGGCTGGATTGATGAACAATGGGACCATGCTATGGTGTTGAACAAAGATGATCCTATGCTTCAGCATTTCAAGGATGACGATCATGCCTTGAAGCCACCATATGTGATGGACACAAACCCCACGGCTGAAAATATGGCTAAGTTTCTTTTGGATAAATCAAATGAACTGCTGGCCGGTTACGAGGGGTTGAAGGTAATCAGTGTTGTCGTCCACGAAACACCAAACTGTAAAGCGGAGGCCACGTTTTGAGAAAATATCTGGTTAAGGAAATATTCGGCCCTACCATACAAGGTGAGGGTCGATATACCGGGGTTGCCGTTAACTTTATCCGCTTTTCTAAATGCAACAGATGGAACGGAAGACCAGAATCAAAACCAAAATCAATCTGTAATTATTGTGACACTGATTTTACAGGGGGCGATCTTCTTACCACTGAAGAAATAATCGACCGGCTGAAAAAAACAAGTGGTATTAGCAATGTGGTGCTAACCGGTGGTGAACCTCTGTTACAGCTAAAGGATGGTGATTTTATAAGACAGCTTATAAGTGAAGGTTATTTTCCACAGATAGAAACTAACGGTTCAATTGACATCGAGCCGGTCGAAGGTATGCACATCACAGTATCACCAAAACAGACCTATTCTGAAACCATGATAAAGTCACACGTTGATTATAAATTTTTATTTCCATGGATTGCCGATGGAATTGACCCGTATCATTTTGATCTGTCTAAAATAGACCAAGTTTATATTCAGCCTATCGATACTGAGGGTATGAATCATACTCACGATGCGTTTAACGAGGTAGTTAAGTTAAACCTTGCTGGTATAAATGCAAAGCTGTCCTTACAAACACACAAATATGGGGAATTTGAATAATGTTAACTCCGAAAGAAAAAAAAATATCTGGTCACGTCAAAGAAATTCTAGAGCTGGTTGGTATACAATGGGATGACAGTACAGAGCAAACACCTGATAGAGTCGCAAAAATGTATACCAGGGAGCTTTTTAGGGGGCTTTCTGAAGATAATTATCCAAAGATTAAAACCGTTGAAAATGGCTTTGAATACGATCAAATGATTGTTGTTAACAGGATTAAGGTTCATAGCCTTTGTGAGCACCATCTGGTCCCCTTTATGGGTCATGCTTCTATAGCCTATTTTCCCGATAAAAAGGTTTTAGGTCTTTCGAAATTTAATAGGATAACCGATTTCTGGTCGAGAAAACCGCAGATACAAGAACGATTAACCACAGAAATTCATAGTGATCTTGTCAAAAAGCTCGCCACCGAAAATGTTGCCGTTTTAATTAAGGCAGAACACTTATGTGTTAAACTAAGAGGTATCCAGGATCAAAACTCTTTTACTACAACCTCAATGTTAACCGGGTCGTTTAGAGATCCAAAAATAAAAAGTGAATTCCTGACCTTGATTAGTGAATAGGGGTGGAGAGGGGGGTAATCTGCTGATGGGGAATAAACTTGCGATTCATCCACAAGCAAAAATAGCTATTATCGAAGCCGCTGGCATTATGCTGGCTATTGGCGCTGACTGGCCAACAATCAGAACAGAACTGTTTCGGCAAACAACTAACCCGAAGTTTACAAAATGGAATGAGGCTGATTTACCGGCACAGCGAACCCTGGAGCGCTGGTTGCTGACAGAAGCTAAAGCTACCAGTATGGCGCAATTAAAACAAAAGCGACTCAACACCGTCAAAACGCGCCTGAAACGTAAGGCTTTGACCATGGCCTTAAATGGTGACCGCACCATGCTGATCTTTAGTTTGAAGAACCTTTGTGGCTGGTCTGACAATCCGGTTGTCGACGATGACAAGAAAGATGAAATGACCGAAGCAGAAAGAAAGGCGGCTCTGAAACGGCAGCAGGATATCGCCAATGAGGAAGACTAAGCTTTCAGATTACGATCGGGCAGAAATCGAAGCGGAAGCCCACAGGGCCCTCTATCAAAACAATATCGAAGGGGCCCGGACTAACTTCATAAAATTCCACCGGCTGAATGATCCTGCCTTTCTGATGAACTGGCATCACAGGGTCATTGGTCGCCGTATAGAACAGATGGTGATGAATCCCAACAGGGACCGGATAATAATATCTGTACCCCCACAAACGGGTAAATCAACCCAGGTATCGGTTGAACTGCCACCATGGGCCCTCGGTGTTAATCCCGAATCCAAGATAGTCATAGCTTCCAATGCCGGAACCCTGGCCAATGATTTTAACGGCAGGGCACAAAACATTATGTCTTCATCAGTGTATGGCGACATATTCCCCCGATCCCGTATTCCCATTGTAGGGCGCAAAAATCAATCGAGGGCCAAACGCCGCAACAACCTGGTTGAACTTATAGGTTGCCGTGGATCCCTCAGGTCGGTGGGGTTGGGGGCTAACCTAACGGGCCATCCGGCTGACGGTCTGATCATTGATGACCCTTATGCAAAAATGTCTGATGTATATTCTGAAGCCTACCAAAAGAAGGTTCTTGATTGGTGGGAAGCTGTGGGGCAAACCCGGCTGTCTAAAAACGCCTGGGTCATATTGATGCATACCCGTTGGTCCGAGGCTGATCTGGCAGGGCAGCTATTGCAAAAGGCCATCGATGGCACAGGGGAAGAATGGGAGGAACTAACCTTTCCGATGCGGTCGGATCCGGAACTGGATCTTCATCCCCTTGATCCCAGAGGGGCTGGTGAACCCCTGCACGTGGATCATAAGGGTGACCTTAAGCTTTTGAGCAGGATCGAACAGAACGTGGGCCCTTTGGTATGGTCCAGCCTGTTTCAGCAAAGTCCGACCATTATAGGGGGCAACCATGTAACAAGGGACCAGATTCAATTGTTTCGGTCCTATAGCGATTTGCCTCATGGCGAAATACATTACAGTTGGGATCTGACTTTCGGGTCAACCAAAAAGAAAGCATCATATGTAGTCGGCCAGGCATGGCTCAAGGGTATTGATGGCAATTTCTATTTGCTGGATCAGTTCAGGGAAAAATGTGGTTTCAACGAACAACTGGATGCCATTAAAGCGATGGCTATAAAGTGGGGTGAGACCAACCAATTGAACATTGAAAAGAAGGCAAACGGTGCTGCAGCCCTTGATTCACTTGAAGGGCACGCCAACATTGTAACGCTTAATCCTGTGGAACCGTGCGGTGATAAAGAAACTAGATTTATCGCTATTACTCCTCTATTCAATCAAAAGCGTGTATATATACCTGATCCTAAATGGCTGCCGTGGTCTGAAAAGTACATTTCAGAAATCACGAAATTCCCCGGATCGGCCAATGATGACCAGGTTGATGGGACATCACAACAGTTGGCATTGTGGTATGATCCGATGGAAGCATTTACATTTGATATGGATGGTGGTTTAGGCGGGGTTGAATCAAAGTGGGTTGTGGGGTGAGATATGATGACACTGATATTCACTATTGCATATCTGTTTGACCGTGATGTGGTCATGGATGTAATTGGTGACATGTTACAGAAAGCTTTTATAACCTTACTACTATGTGATGGTATAACGTTTACAATTGGTTTTCAGTTGGGTATCTGGTCAGCAAGGTGAATAACATGAAAACAAATATAATAATGGCAGTGATTGTCTTGTTTTTCGCTATTGGTTTGTATATGACTTTTTCAATATTTGTCGAAGATGAAGCTGAAGGGACCTACAAGCATAAGTACGGTTTCAAATGTTATCATGTTGGCAAAGGGTTTTACCGATGCATTAACAGGAATGCAGAGTGTTACCGGTTTAATCATCAATTGAGTTGTTTCAGGAGGTAAAAAATCGGAAATGGCCAATATCAATTATGAGATTAAAAGAAGTAAAGTCGATAAGAAATACAAGGTGATATTGAAGAACGAAGCTGGGATTGTTTTGTCTGAATCCGCTCATTACGAAACAATAATGGAAGTCCATACATTTTTGAAGCTGGTGCGTGGTTCCGGGGAAATATATCTTGATTATGATAAGGGTAGTTTTTAAATGGCAGGGATGCATCTGAATGAAAAAACCCAAAAAGAAAAAACACCATGAAAAATCTCAGGAAGTACCTGGCCCTGAAGCGTTCACCTACAAGGCTGAACTACTGGACATATATGATGGGGATACGGTCACAGTTAGACTGGACCTTGGTTTGGAAATCGGGACCGTGCAAAGGATTAGACTTGCCCGTATCAATGCACCGGAAGTCAGGGGCGGGGAAAGAAGCGCTGGTCTTAAAGCTCGGGACGCACTATCAGCATACATTGGAACGGGGGACGCAATTGTCGTCAAGACCATTCGTGACAAGAAGGGCAAATATGGCCGGTACCTCGGAGAAATCTGGATCCGACACCTGGTCATTGATGAATTTATTTACGTGAACGTTAACGACTGGATGGTCGATAATGGCTATGCCAAATATCAGGAGTATTGAAGTATGGGAAATAAGTTTGCGAAATTAGTTTTGCTATCATCATTCGTGGCATCATCAGCACAAGCGGATGTCTTTGACAGGATAGCCAGGAGAATTGCAGCCGGTTTGGGAAGTGGCCCTGTGGGTGTGGCCACAGCTGTTGTTGTTGGTAAAATGCGCGACAAAGAAGAAAAGAGAATCAGGAAATACCGGGATGATCGTCAACGAGACATGCTTGATGATCGCAGGCGACATGAACGTGATATAGGAGGGGGTCGAACAATTCGCGATGGTGGCAACATGGGAACGCTGGGTGTAGCCGATGCGATTCGTTAAGACGGCTGTATACTTTGGCGTTGGTTGGGCGGTAACAGGTTTTTATTTGGAACGTCCTCCGTTAAATATAATTCTGGAATTTTGTTTATTGATGCTTGGTGCTTTCCTGATGGGTTGTTGGAAAGAACCTCAGGAAAAAAGGGATTAGTGATTTCACAGAAAATAACAGGAGATTATTATGGGTAGGAAAGAAAAGAAAAGCAGGAAATACCTTTTAGCCATATACAAAAGTGACGGTGATGAAATTGTGTTGGATGGTTGCACACACCTGACCAGTCGTGATGATTGTCTGACTTTTTATTACGACGGGCGAAAACACAAAACGGATTTGGAATTTTTTGCCACAGAAATTATAGAAGAATCGCCCGAAGAAGAAAAAGAAGACAAGGACGACGATTAAAAACTAACAGGGGCTTCGGCCCTCTTACTTTGAGGTATCAGTAAAAATGAATGAATCAGAAGTTAAAATGGCAGCTGAAGCTATCAAGTGCATAGCTGACCTTGAAGTCTACAAGAGCGATGTTGCTAACATCAACATGAAGCAAACTATCCAGCAAATTTTTGACACCATGAAAAAGCATGAGTTGGATGCCGATGGTATATTGGTTGAATTTGTCACCAAGGTTAACGCTTCGATTATTGCGAAGCAGGCTGAGCTTAGAGGCCTGCATCTTGATAAGTTTGGTATTACTAAGGGGTAGTTCAGGGTGGAAGGAAGGGATGTGATTAAATGATCGAACAAACTTCTATTTGGGTGGCGGCCATTGTCGGAACATCGGTAGGCGCACTGATATTTTTGAGGCCTAAAAAAGATAAGGACAAAAAAGCTTTCGACAATACCGAAGGGATGGCAAACGCCAGAAAGGCTGCTGAAGCCATCAGGGCCCAAGAGGCCAGGGATGATGCCCGTCAATCGGCGAGTAAAGCTGGAACCAGGTCCCGATCTGAAGCAAAGCGACTGAAGCACCATAAAAAGAACAGGGACGATGATGATTCGATTCTGGATCCATTGAATCCATTGAACCCGGCTAACCCGATATCGAGTGTAATTTTTGATAGTGGTTCATCTTCATCATCGTCCTGTGGCGGCAGTAGTGGATCATCCTATAGCGGTGGTTCTGATTATGGTGGCGGTGGCAGTTACGGTGGTGGTGGTTTCGATTCTGGCGGCGGCGGCGGCGGCGGGGGATGTGACTGAGTAACTCCCGGGGGGTTCCCCCCCTGATCCGGCCACGTGATTTTCGGACCATAAAACCAGACCATGCATTGCCCGGCTTTAAAGAGTAGAACTAACCTATCTACCATCCATAGAACTTTCCATTCAAAATGGTATAAACTGAAAAAAGTTTCCCAATTCAGTTTTTTCAAAAAGCAACATCACGGATGGTTCAAAATGGCCGATAACGACACTGTCGAAAGTGAGACCGAAGATCTTGAGCCGGGCATATCATTAGGCCAGTATGGCTTAAGAAGCAGTGCCGGGTATATCACCGAAGATTACATTACCAGCCTGAACGGTGCGAAGGGGGCAGAGACCTTCACCAAAATGGGTAATGACGAAGTCGGTGGTTCTGTCCTGTTCGCTATTGAAATGCTTATGAGACAGGCCGACTGGAAGGTTGAGGCCTTTTCGGAAGCCCCGGAGGATGAAGCCAAGGCTTTGTTTGTTACTCAGTGTTTCGAGGATATGGATCGACCATGGTCGGAAACCCTGACCGAAATTCTGTCTTTTTTGAAGTACGGTTGGTCGTGGCACGAAATCGTATATAAGGTTAGAAGTGGCCCAAATGCTTCCGATAGGCGTTTCAGATCAGCTTATGATGATAACCTCATAGGCTGGTCGCGTTTTGCAATAAGGGGTCAGGATTCTCTTTTGAAATGGGAATACGATGAAGAAGACGAGGACTACCTTGTTGCCATGACTCAGATTCCCCCGCCTTCTTATCAGCAGCGGACAATCCCCAGATCCAAATCGCTTTTGTTCAGGCCATCGGCCCACAAGAACAATCCAGAGGGTCGGAGCATTTTTCGATCAGCATATGAATCGTGGTATTACAAAAGGAATATCAAGAAGATAGAAGCTATCGGGGTTGAGCGGGATCTGGCTGGTTTACCCATGATCAAGGTGCCACCAAAGTATTTTGCAACAAATGCATCACCAGGCGATAAGCAGGCCCTGGAACAGGCCAAACAGATTGTCAGGAATCTTAGGCGTGATGAACAACAAGGGGTGGTCCTTCCTGCTTTATATGACAGTCAGGGCAACGAAATCTATAAACTGGAACTTCTGAGCACGGGTGGTGGCAGGCAGGTTAACACCAACGAAATCATCCAGCGCTATGACCAGAGGATAGCGATGTCGGTCCTGGCTGATTTTGTTCTGTTAGGTCACGATGGCGTTGGTAGCTATAGTCTGGCCGATTCCAAAACATCCATATTCACCATGGCCCTTTCCTCATGGCTGGACACAATCGCGGAAGTTTTGAACCGTGATGCAATTCCTAAGCTATGGCGTATGAATGGCTGGCGTCTGGATAATCTTCCAAAAGTTGTTTATGGGGATATTGAAACAGTCGATATTGATAAACTTGCCACATCGATTCAGAAGCTGGCTGCCACAGGGATGCCTTTGTTTCCTGATGATAACCTTGAGGAACACCTTAGGGATGCCGCTGGTCTTCCCCAACGGACAACCGTTATGGATCTTGACGATAGTCCTGCCGAAGATCGGAATAGTAAGGAAACGGAAGCTGAGGAAGATATGGAAAGTGACTCTGAAGAAAATATGAGGAGCTGACCACAATGGCTAAAGACGACGACAAATTGGCAGAAGAAGACTATAAGGTTATCCACCGGGCAGCTGACAGAAAGGTTCCGATCTTTTCTGCGATCTTCATGGATGTTTTTGCAAAATTTGCAGGAAACATCAATGCATCTGACATTGAAGCCTTAGCCAACATGGGCGCCTTTGATGCCATCGAATTTGGATTGCCCTGGCCTGAGCTAAGGGAAGCCATCAAACAGGCCTATGACCCGGAGGTTTTCAGGACGGTCATCGATGCTGCAGATAAATCAAATGCTATCCTGACAAGGACTATAAGCGAAGCCATAGGGGCAAAGGTTGATCTGGCCTTCGATGAAACCAACCACAGAGTGAAAAGCTATCTGGAATCTGAGGTGGGAACCCTGATCACAGAAATGACCAGGGAATCCCAAAGGACCATCAGACAAATGGTAACGAGGGCCCAGGTCGACGAAACCAAAGCATCAAGGCTGACCAGGGATATAAAGAGAAATATCGGGCTCAGAAGGGATCAGGAACAGGCCCTTACTAATTTCGAACGTAATCTGGCTGAAAACAGCGACCTGAAGGCATCACAGAAAACAAAGATGGTGAACGACTACAGGAGCAGGCTTCTTGGGCAACGGGCCCGCTTAATAGCCCGTACTGAAACCATGAGGGCGGCTAACTTCGGATTCCAGGAAGGCTATTTACAGGCTGCTGATCAGGGACTGATCGACCGCAACATGAGTGTAAAGGAATGGATCACCACTCCCGATGACAGATTGTGCCCTACTTGTGAACCAATGGATTCAGAACAAGTGCCCTTGTCCGGATTGTGGAAGGTCACGGTCTATACTGAAACCAAATCCGGTGGAAAGCAGGCCAGGGGAACAAAATTTGTTCGAATACCAAACGAAATCCATCCCAATTGCAGGTGTGCGATGAAGGTGATACCCAAGAAATTACCCACCCGACTTGCTATCTGATTAATTTTAATAACCCAAATTGTCACGTTCGTGATAAAATATCATCAGATTCCTTTCCAAAAGCAGTTCATAACGGTTATCTTAAGACCCAGAAACACCTGGGATAAAAATTAAGATCAACAAGGATGAACTGTAACGTTTGTCTAGTGGGGATTTCTGATTATGGAGAAACCTGAAGGTCTTTCCTCAACTGCAATTGCGATCGATTTGCTGGCAGGTGGGGAAATCAGGGAACATGCCCAGAAGAACATGATATCGATCAACATTAAGGGTGTGATGCCCGAAAGTGTTGAAAAGCAGATTGTTTATGGTGTTGTCCTGAGACCTAATGTTGTCGATGCCCATGGCGATACGATGACCCCGGAAGAAGTTGAAAAGTCAGCCCATCACTGGATGGCCACCGGGGGCGATATATTTATCCAGCACAGGGGTAAAGCCATGGCCCTTCCCCTCGAATCCTTTATAGCTCCGACAGACATCCAGCTGGAAAACGATTCCAATATTATGAAAGGCGATTGGGTTATGGCTGTTAAGGTTGTTGACCCCGTTCTTTGGGAAGGCGTTCAGAATGGAGAAATTACCGGATTCTCTGTTGGTGGATTTGGGACTTACAGCCTCATTGAAGACGGCACATAAATTTAAAGGTTTGATCTTAATGGCGGGGCGATTAAAATAATGGAAGAAGATCTAATATTCGAAAATTTAATCTGGGATTTATCAAACCTGAGGCCCGACGAAGTTTCGTTAGTGGACGAAGGTGCGAACATGATCCCTTTTTTGATAACCAAGGAGGCGAAATTGAATAAGGCAAAGCTTCAGAAGCTTATCGAAAAGACAAAGTTGGATTCCTCAACTGAGGTAATCAGCAAAGCCGCAACAGTCGAGGGCGATGAAGCGATAGCACTGGAGACAGGGCTTAAGGTTCTAAAAGCCCTTTCTGGCAAGTGTGACAAAGCTTTGCTGAATGGTCTCCTTGTTGAAGAAGGCATTGTTGAAAAGGCAGCTGAACCAGCTTCGGATGTTGTTTCAAAAGCCGATCATGAGGCCGCTGTTGCCAAGGCAAAGGCTGATGGCATCGAAGAAGGAAAAGTGGCTAAGTCCAGTGAAAGCCCCGACCCGGTTGAGGTAGCCAAATCCAAAATGGATGAAATGCCGGAAGAAACCAAAGCTGTGTTCAAGGCTTTGATTGAGCAGTCTGGTGAAACCAAAAAATCCCTCGATAGAGTCAATAAGACTCTTGAGAAAGAACGGGACGAAAGAATCACCAAGCAATTCGAAGATCAGGCCAAGGAATTCAACATCGGAATCGAAGGTCTCGGTTTGGTTCTTAAGGATGTTGCTGGTTCTTGTGACCCCAAGACTTTCGACAAGCTTAGTGCAATCCTCAAGGTCGCTTCGGATAAGGCTGGATTCCAGTCGACCGGAAAAGACAATGTTTCTGGTGAGACATCCGGTAATGGTGATCCCGAAGCCATTTATTCTGAACTTACAGCAGCTGCTAAGGCCCGCTTCCCTGATGAAGATCAAAGCCATGCGGTTACCAAGTTCATGACAAAAACCTCCGAAGGCCGGGCCATGTACAACCGGTACGAAAAAGCAAAACGCAAAAAAGCAGCTGAGTGAAACCACGGGCGGGTTCCCGGTTTTGAAATGGAACGAAAACTTTTTATCAGGAGATAATCAAAATGGCTTACGGAATTTACGGTTTCGATCTGGGAACAGAATCAGCAGCTGCTGACTTATCTGCCCTTCAGTTTACCGCTGTCTCAGTGACATCATCCGGGGCAAACACTGCTGCTTCAGCTTCTGATGCCGATGGTGTTTTACAGAACGACCCCGAGTCCGGGCAAATCGCAACCATCAGAACCGATGGCGTTTCAAAGATTGTGGCAGGAGCCGCAATTGCCAAGGGTGCTCAGGTTCAGGTTGGAACCGGTGGAAAATTCATTACAGCAGTTTCCAGTTCAAACATCATCGGACGATGTCTTGAAGCGGCAGCTGCTGACGGGGACATCGTTACAATGTTGATCAGCAAGCAGGGAATTAAAGCTTAACGGTAAGCGTTAAAATAACGGTTTTTTAAAGATCAAGGAGGATCGCAAGAATGGAACCTACATTATCCCAAGTCCACGTAAACCGACCGCTTACCAACATTTCGGTGGCATACGTTCAGGATCAAAGCAAGTACATCGCACGGCAGGTTTTTCCTAACGTGCCATCCGACAAGCAATCAGACTTGTATTACACGTATTCAAAGGCAGATTTCTACCGGGATGAAATGCAGAAGCGTGGACCCGGAACGAAAGCGGCTGAGACCGGGTACAACCTCGCTACAGATAACTTCTATATCGATGTTTATGCTCTGGCCCATGTTGTTGCTGATGAAGAAATGGCAAACCAGGATGATCCCCTTAACGCCAAGGCTGA